TGAGAACATGTCTCCAAAAGATTAAAAAAAAAAAAGGAAAAGAAAAAAGTAAAGCAAAGTCCCGGACAAACCTGTCCCTGGCCTTTCCTCCTCCTGTTTACTGAGACATGTAGCGTTAGCCATATTGCAACAAGTGTCCTTGGCAGTAAGCGTGCCAGCCTTGCATACAGCAAAACTATCTGCACATTGCTAATCCCAGGCCTCTGTGCCTGGTAAGGCTACACAATCTCTTTCCCCTCTGCACTCTGCCAGGATCCCCACCCACCTCTCTGATTTATACCATGAGCTTTTCCAGATGAGGCTTTTTGGTCCCAGAGCTCTTCCATTGCAGAGTATTTTCTGTTTTTCATCTTTTTGCCATATTGCCAGGTGGGTTAGATTGATTCCGTCGGCTGGGGTTTCTATAGAAGGGGCTGGGGAGATTGAGCTCTTGCAGTAGAGAAGTGGTCAGAGGGAAAAAGCATGAAGGTGAGGAGGCGAAGGGAAAGCATGTGGAACAAAGATGTGCCGAGGACAGGAACCTGGTAACCTCAGTGAATGTAAAGCGCATGTGCCATAGCATGAGCTCAGATTAATGATACCAGCATAGGCGAATTGGAGAAAGAGGCCGGGAGGGGGAAAGGGACAGGGATTAAAATACAAAAACAAACTGTGGTATGTACTTGTACCCATTCCTCAAAAGAATTCTGCTAAGCTATTTAAAGAAAAATTAAGGCCAATTCTATGTAGTACTTGACAGAAAATAGAAGAGGATTGTTACCTTTGTGGGAAGGAGGGTCAGAGGTGCATGGATCTCAGTATTTGTCTTTACAATAGGGCCTTGCATATAAATCTACCATGTGGAAAAAAAGGTTTAATTTAAAGAAAAGTAACCACAGGGAGAGAAAAAGCATATTTTGTACAGAAGAGCAAAGAGAACTGTGGCACACTTTGTAAATAATACAATCTAGATGTACAACAGTACCTTTAAAATACTGAAAGAAAAGGAAAGTTTGATTCTAAATACTGTTCAGTGCTGCATCATAAGGGTGATAAAAAAAAAAAAAAAACCTAGCCAGGTGGAACAGTTAAACACCCCACTCTTCACTCTGTAGGCTCCAGGGAATGTGGGTGGGCTATCATCCTCTGATAGGAAAATCAGTCACCCGTTTTACTCCCTGATCTGTTTCTGGACATTTCTTATACTTCACCTTTGGAAAGTAAAATTGGTTAATTTACTGTTTTTACCTGCCAAGCAAGTTTTTATTCTAAAAGAGAGTAAAGTAAATGTGGACTTAACTACAGTACAGGCAGATTTGTAGAAGAGAAATTCAGAGAAGGACCTTTGGAAATGTAAAGGAAGAATTAAAAGCAGGAAAAAAAAATAACATCAAAGAAAATGACATGGGAACCTGATTAAGAGTGGAGGGGAAAGAAAGAGCTGAGAGGTAAACAAGACCTGGGCCCCAGATGAATGGGAGGGGAGCACACCTCATGGCAGTGATTGAACGAAATAGCCTGCTCCACAGCAGAGGTTTTGCATTTGCCTGCTGGGTTTTAGCCTTATTGCCTAAAATACAATGGGCTACTTAATAATTACTCAGTAAATGTTTATTGTATGAATGAATAACTGAATATAAAAATTAGAAAATAGTGATCATCAGTTTTGGTTGAAATGATTTGTTATGAGTTCTGGTTTAAGAATCATAAATGTGGTCCTTTCGGCTGGAACCGCCATCTTCCAGTAATTTGCCAAAATGACTAACACAAAGAGCAAGAGGAGGGAGACCTGGTATATGTTTTCCAGGCCTTTTAGAAAGCATGGAGTTGTTCCTTTGGCCACATACACGCACACCTACAAAAGGGTTGATATCGTAGACATCAAGTGAATGGGTACTGGGCAAAAAGGAATGCCTCACAAATGTCATCATGACAAAATGGGAAGAGTCTACAGCGCTACCCAGCATGCTGTTGGCATTGTCGTAAAGAAGCAAATTAAGGGCAAGATACTTTCCAAGAGCATTAATGTGCATATAGAGCATATTGAACACTCAAAAAGTCATGATAGCTTCCTGAAATGTGTCAAGGAAAATGATCAGAAAAAGAAGGAAGCCAAAGAGAAAGGTACCTGGGTTCAACTGAAGCACCATCCTGCCTCTTCCAGAGAAGCACACTTTGTGAGGACCACTAGGAAGGAACCTGAGTTTTTGGAACCTATTTCCTATAACTTCATGGTATAAACTGGTGGTTTTGGTGTGCCATTCAGTACCTAATTGGCTGCTCAAGTGTTCTAGGTCCTACGTACAAATAAAATCATCCTGTGTTGTAAGGATGGTTTTCTTAGTTGAACAGGTATGTGGTGCCTTCTTACCTCAGAAATATTTGCAGCAGATTTTTACTGTACCTAGTAATTGTGTCTAGTCTTTACTCTTCAGTGTTTTTCTTCTGAAAGGTGTTGCTGAGGTGTTGTGCAGGTGTAGACCCAAATATTCAAATATTTATAAAATATTTATATTGGCTTGAAGATCCTGTAAATCATCATGGGGAAAAGGTGTATCAAAATAAATGGAAGTCACTTTAGAAACAAATGTAAGTCCATTTCAGTTAAATAAGTTGTTTAAAGCACCAAAAAAAAAAAAAAAAAAAAAAAATCATAAATGTGGACTCTTGTCCTGCCTTGCCACTGGTTAGCTGTCCTCACATAGGTAACTGCAGAACTTGTGGAGAGAGCAGTGACACAAGCAGCACACTGATCAAGCATGTTAGCCTATGACCTCGTGTGGAAAATGGGACTATGAGAGAACTTACTGTTGCTATTTATGTAGAACACTTCGTTTTGCCCCTGATTCATAAGAAGTACTCAGTTAAGGTCATCCTTTTCTGAAGGGAGCTGTGATCATTTGGCTCCCTCTGTAGAACATCACTGAGTAGTCTATGTAGGCTTGGCTTTGTCATCATGAATTTCTTTAGTTGCTCTTTGTCATGGAAGTATTTCACTTCTCCATTACACTTGAAAGAGAGTTTTGCAGGGTATATCACTCTGGGTTGGAATTTGTTTTCTTGTAAGACTTATATTACTTTGCTCCATGCTCTTCTTGTCTTGATGGTTTGTGAAGAGAAATCTGCCATTATTCTGTTGGATTTTCCTTTAAATGTGATCTGTTTCTTTTCTTTAGCAGTTATGCATTGACTGTTTACAGAGATGAGCTGCCATACCTCTAATAAAGCAGCATTAAAACTATTAACAGGGGCTTAGGATGGTAACTTAGTGGTACAGTGCTAGCCTGGCATGGCCAAGGTCCCAGATTCAAACACAGCACTGAAAACTGTGTCTGAGTTACCTTATACAAAAGCTGAATGGTGTCTTAATGGTCATCCAGGGTAAGCCCCTCATTGAAAGTAAGGCAGGGCGAAAAGTGTGACTTGCACAAAGTCACATAGCTAGCTGAAGATAAACATGGAGGGACCAAACTCAAGAGGAATGGCTATTTGAAAAGCATGGAAGAGAGGAGCGAGACAACACTGGTTAGCTGGCCTTCCCAATGCCCCACAGTGCTGGGGATTGGGCCCAGGGCCCCACAAGTGACAGAAGGAACTCCAGCAACCCAGCCCTTGGTTGGGCTTTTGAGGGTTTACCTCCAAACACTGTAGGTACCCTCAAGGATAAATTTTGTTTTCTGGAAAAATATGTTTGCCTGCTAGATACCTCTGCCTATACTTGTTGACATGTTTAATTTAGCATGTTCAAAATCAAACTTGAAATCTCTACATAGTGAGACCAAAAAGGATCTTAGAATGCCTCAGCTCAGTCTTCCTCTTTGCAGATTAGGAAAACAGATCCTGTTCTGAGTAGAGGTCTCACACTTTTTAGACTCATTGGTAGAGATCTCACACCATTTAGACTGCTGTGAGCAGTCAGTTGTCTCTTGAGTCACTTGAGTCCCAGAGTATTCCTTTGGAATCCTTCTGACTTTAAGCCTTCAGAGTTTTGGCTCACAATAGCCCCTGGTCTTGATTAGAGTGGTGTTTTCCAATTTTCTTTTAAAATGCTGAATCCTCTACTTGAGGTGATCCTATATATAAAAGAGACTAAAATAGGAGCTGATGTGGGCTGGGTGTGTAACTCAACGATAGGGCCTTGTGCTAGCATTTGCAAAGCCCTGGACTTGATCCCAGCAGTGCCAGCAAGACAGAACAAAACAAAATGAGCTGACGGTTGGTACCAGGGAGATGTGGTTTAGGTCATGGCAGTAGGGTGTAGATAGCTGGGGAAATCACACAATGGAAAGAATGAATTCTCTCCTGATTGCTTTGCCTGCCTCCCTAATCTCCAGAGGCAAGGAACCTCTGAAGAGCCTCCAGGTTAGGAAGCCTGGCAGTGATAGCTGTCATGAATAGTATTGGGATCTGCTCTGTAAGTTCCCATCCCCTGTGGCTTTAACATATCCCCTGCAGTAATGAGTCCAAGAAGTAGGCCGCCATTACAACTAGGACCTTAACAAATTCTCAGCTTTCATTTTAAAACTTTCATTGATCGTGTTTGTCTGTATTCATACAGGAAACAGCTCTTATGTGAATTGGTTGCCTTAAAATAGATCATTTTATCGGTATGGACAACCCACTAATTACTTGCATTTGTGGAGAAGCTTAGGCATAGTTAGTGACTGGTCTTGTGTGAATCCCTGTCATGTTCTGATGAATTTTAAAACATTTGCTATATGTTTAATATCTTTTTGTTGTGTTATTTATAATTTTGAATTTCAGTCAGCAACTGATTAAGCCCTGTGCTAGACACCACAGGGCTGGGGGATGATAGGGCGAAGTTCTTGCCCTCAAATTTGAGTCCTGCTGGGTGCAAAATGAAGAACGTGACATTTTATATTGTTTTCCTTTTTACTTCATTTCACCACCTGAGGTTTTGTATTGTCCCATTTTTTATTTTTAATTTACTGACTTGTAAAGCATGTTCATGACTGTAAATTCAATAATTTAAGGCTATGTGCTTTCTGTCAAATTATTAGGTTGCAAGACTGGAAAACGAAAAAGAAGAACTACGTAACCAGCTGCTTAGTGTTGATCCCACAAGGGAAAGCAAACGAGCGGAGCAACTTCTTCGAGAAAAAGCCCACTTGAGTCAGAAATTAAAAGGCTTAGAGACTGAAGTAGCAGAATTAAGGGCTGAAAAAGAGAATTCTGGTGCTCAGGTAGAAAGTGTCCAAAGAATACAGGTGCGGCAGTTGGCTGAGATGCAGGCTACAGTGAGATCCCTGGAGGTAAGGTTTTAATTGCTTCCCGGAAGAGTAGGACATAGTTTTTAAAAGTGCAGTTGACAAGACTTTGATTTTTAGAGCATAAATGTATGCTTACCAGTCTAATGCTGACGCATTTGTAGAATCCCAAGAGTATTCTTAGTGTAAGGAAGAAAGCTATTGATTCATAAGCAGTAGCTATGCTACCATATTTGTAAGGGGAATATTTATTCTATGAGAATCAAGTCACCTACCTGAAATGACTTAACTCTTACAGTGCCACAGAATAGAGTATATAAAATTCCCCCCAATATATTTAAATCTGTGAAGACCAAGATCATATCAAGCCAAATTAAAAAGAAAAGAAAGAAAAAGAAAATTTCTTGTGATATTATAAATTCCTTACACTGGTAATTTGAAACCTTAAAATCCTAAGTCCTATTTGAACAGAAATACCATATTTAACATGCTTTATGATAGCTTCTTGCCAGAATAATAAAATTCAACTTGGTTGCTATTGCATACAGCAAACCCTTATAGAATAATTTCCCTGCGTTGGTTAGAGACTTGTTAGCAGAACAAAGTTCTTACTCCTAGAGCGATTATCTTAGGAACACTCTTAGTTTTCATCTTACTCTGACACAGTTACCTTTCCTATGTTGTGTACCTAACAGGTAGCAAATAAACCAGATTGTAAAATTTAAAGTTTTTTTTTTTTAATCTTTCTGGAATAGTCATGAGATGATTTGAGTAAGAAAGAAATCATTTAGTAGTGTACCTAGCTTATAATTAAAATCCACTATCCAAATTCAAAATGGTGATTTTTTTTTTCCAACCAGCAAACTGGTACAAGGAGTTTGTTTATGTGTTTTGAAGAGAAGTCACTTTTTAAATGTTTTATGTGAAGGTTCTATCAGTTTTAGCTGGTTCTCTGTACGAAAGTTGTCGATATCATTGGACCTATGACATGAGACAGTTCAGAGTAAGATCGTTTATGTTGCCATTCTTCTGTCCTTAATGTATTTGCACAGTGACAGTGTAAGTGAGATGATTGTAGTTGAACAGTCTATTGTCTCAGTGTGAAACTTTTCCTTGAGCTCATCTGGAGTGGTTATTTGCAGGGCAAGTTGAGTGGTAATAGAAGATAGGTAGTTTATTAGTGACATTTTTGGTAGAGCCTGTATTTAATTTTATCATTTGTCAAAAGAGAATAGTATATGACAACAAATATTCCTTTCTTTATCTTTTTTGGCTATCATTATGCCCAGAGAATATAATTTTATATATGAAGAAAATACCTTTTTTCTGTCAATTACTTGTTGAATGAAATTCTTACTATTTTTAACACAAATAGGAAGTGAGATACTAAACTAGTTATCACTTAAATGCTAAAATTTTTTATCTTCACAAGTATTTTTAAAAGGCTTTTTGTTTTTTCTCTATAATAACAATGTTTTGAGTATGACTGACAAGAAAATTTTTGACAATTTACAGACTTTATTAAGAATCTTAATTATGTGGCTGGGTGTGGTGGTGCATGCCTGTAATCCTGGCACTCAGGGGTTGAGGCAGGAGGATCTCTGTCAGTTGAGTTTGAGGCCAGCTGTGCTACTTGGTGAATTCAAGGCCAATCTGAACTGCATAGGGAGACCCAGTCTCAAAAAAACCAAAAGAACAGTAACGACAAAAAGACTCCAGGGCTTGGGAGGTAGCTCAGTAGAATAAGCTCTTGCCAGGCGCAAGGGCCTGAGTTCAATCCATGGTTCCGGAAAAAAAAGAAAATTGCTAAAAAAAGGACTCCAGATTGGCAGAAAAATTTGAATTCTTATCGGTACCTCCCCTTTTTTACAAAAAAAATCCATTGATTTTGAAATTTAAATTGTCATTTCTCATATGTGTCACCGAGTCTTCTGTTGTCTTCAGTTATGTGCTTTCTCATAACTGTTGTGGACTGGAACGCCCTCCCCGACCATATCAACATTCAGAGTAATTAGGTATCCAGTGAGTGGCACAAGTACTCTTCCCCATGAGAGAAGTCTGAGAGGTGTATTTTGTTGGTGGCTGTTGATATGTTGTTTGATCAAATATCTCTGTTGTATATTTACTGGAACACACACCTCGCTGTTTTGTTTTGTTTTTTGGTTTTGGGGATTGATCAAGATCTCATATATGTTAGATGGGGACTTTACCACTCAACTGCACTGTAGTTCCCATGGAGCAGGTTTGTTTCTTTTGAGAAAACTCTCGTTGCTTTGGCAATATTAATGTTGGCAATATTAATGTATTAACACATATTAATGTTGTTAGGGTTTTGAATACTTTTTTATATGTTACACATGCGTTTTAAATAATAATGCTTATTTTATTTTGATATTGTGAAAAATTATGGACAAAATTTCAAATATTTTGTTTTAATTAAAGGCTGAAAAACAGTCGATCAAGTTGCAGGCTGAACACCTGGAAAAAGAGCTGCAGTCAAGCAATGAACAAAATACTTCTTTAATCAGTAAATTGCATAAAGCTGATCGAGAAATAAATACACTGACCAGTAAAGTAAGTTGTCTTTTGCATCTGTTTCATTTTTTAGGATGCTTGCTTCTATATGATGATATGGAAATTTTGTTTTTAATAGTTGAGTTCTGTATATTGAAGTCTTGTTTTATAATATCATTCTGTTTTTCAAGAAATAAAATTCATTGACCAGCAATGTAACTCGTTATATTTCTGTTTCATTTTTTGGAAAGCTAGATACTCTACATGACAGTGTTTAGTTCTGCATATTGAAATGATTTATCCTGTCATTCTACCTTCCTGATACATGCAGAAAGTGACACAGCTCTTACAACCTCCACTATGATCACTCCAGTACAGCCCATGTTCTCTGTAGCTTGAATTTTATAATAGCTTTGTAGCTGTTCCTTCTGTCAGAGCTCTGTGTAATCAGGCACCTGCAGTCTTTCCACAGCTGTATCCTCCAGTTTCCTTCCTGTGTACCTGGTTCCTGCTTTGCTGGCCTTCTCCCCTATCCTTTTACCTCTGGGCCCTTATCTTGGGAGCCTGCCATAGTCTTTCTTCACTTACCTACGTTGCTTGCTTCTTTACCTTCTTAAAATGTCATCCGATTATGAAAGGCGTGTCTTCACTTTGGTAAAATAACACTTTCCTCATCTGCCTTTTTACCCTTTTAATCTGCTTCATTTTTTCCTCATTCCTTAATAGCATCTACTTATAGTTATTTTCTTTATAAAAGTTCTTCTTTCTATCACCTTCCCTTCCAATTATGTGTATGCTCTGAGAGAGCAGAGGCACTGTTTTCATCACTGCTGAGGACACTGCTGGCACATAGTAGGCACCCGTAGACTTTTCTTCAGTGAGTAAATTAGTATCAGCAACTTGTCCTCCATTTATTTTATGTTTGAGATAACAGAGTAGTTTGTCTACTACTCCAAAAGTCTTTTGTTATTTTTTGAAAAATAAAACAACCTTTCATAACAAAATAAAAGAATAATAAAGTTTTCCTCAGAAGCTTACTTTTTTTTTTTTAACCTTCAAATGCAATACATATTAAGATCCAGAACTAGTGACAGTGAAACTTTTATAAAACATCATCTCTGGAGTCCAGCTGGAATCAGATTCTGTTTTTCACCCTTACTAGCTGTGTGACTTTTTTTAAAATTAATTTTATTGAGAAATAGCAACAAGACAGTTTCAAAACCAATTAATAGAACCGTTTCTGATACCTGTGAACTAAGCAGTTGCACTGAATAGCAATGTGTAATACTAGCGTCATGCTTGGAATGCCTGTCATTCTGGTCTTCTAAATACATACTGCTTGTCATGTCATATCAATTACTGCTATATTGTCTCTCATGTAAATGTTTTTTTAAAAAGTAATAAATGAGAACTAGCTATGTGACTTTGCGGTGATTTTGTCTTTGAAATTTTAGTGTCTTCTCCTATATCATTAAACTAATGCCTGCCATAATGAACTATGGCCAAAGAAGAGATACAAAGCAATCAGTGTAAGAGCTAACAAGCAGTCACTAAAATATGAACTTACTAGATCTTAGGACATTACTAAGAACTTGGAAGGAACATTGATTTCTGAGTCTGTGAAATCACTGTGTTTTCTGTCAGGGCATTATAAAAATAACCTTAAGAAACAAGATGACTCCTAGACCAAAATACAGTCAGTATACCCTTGTAGATATATATAAATTTAACTAAAGTTGTGAAATAGTATCAATTCCTTTCCAAGAATTTCCTAAGAAGTCTTAGGGGCCAGTGTATGTGACAAAGGGGAGAAAAAGACTTAATCAGCAGCAAGCACTTATTCTGCTGGTATTTGGCCACCGAAAATACTGTTCTTGCTGGGGAAATGAAGAAACCAGTCTCTTTTAACCTGTTAACCTGAGTGGCCACGAAGACATCCTCTCATCTTATTGTCATTGTTCTAATCATCAAGCAACCTTCTGACTGCTGCTTGACTTCCCATATAATTTTATCTGCAGAGAGATAAGGTGCTAGTCTTTCAAACTGAAATTTTCTAGCTACATTTAGGTTTTTTTCTTATAATTAAACTGTCATTCTGATTTTGTAAATTACTCCTAATACACTTTAGTGATGTAAGTCTAACCTTAAGTGTGGTAACAGAATTGGATTTTCGATGTATTGAATGCCACCTTTGGGAGGTGATCTATCCCAGTTTCTCCTTTGACAAACACAAATCATGTGTCTAATGACTCTTAATTTTTTGTTTGAACTTCTGTACTTTACATAGTGGCAGTGGTTTTCTTTTACTAGTGTTTTATTTAATTTTTAGATATGACTGACAGAAGAAAAGTAAAGCTAGGCATGTATGATTATTATTTTTATTTTTTGTAGTACCAGTGACTGAACGTGGGACCTTGGGCTTGCCTGGTGAGCACTTATGCCAGTAAGCGGCATCCCCAGCCCTAGGCATCTATGATTTTTAATTGTTAAAATGTTTTTATTTTTCGTAATGCCAGGGATCTAACTCAGGACCATGTGCATTCTATTTATTTTTTAATTTTTAAAGAGAGTACAAAATAGTGTTAAAACAGAAAAATTACAAATAATACAGAATTTCACTAAACATGACAATATGAATTTCATAGTACCTATTGTATTACATAGTATTGTCTTCAAATTAGTTACTCTTACTATCAGATCTATGTGTGCAAAATTGGAATAAGAAAGCAAAAAAAAAAAAAGAAAAAAAATAAGAAAGCAAAAAAAGAGAAAAAGAAAAAGAACTAAAAAAAGAAGACAAAAAATTATGAATTAACTGTTCCTTTCCTTATACCAGCAGAAATCTACATTAGAGTTGTTAAAATTATCCTGCTTACATACATAGATATATCTCTTTCCCAAACTCCCTTTCTTGTCCTTCTACTGAACTCAGTAATTCATTATCTACTGTACCCTTTGGATTTTATTTTCTCTTTCAGTTTCTCACTAAGGAGACAGTAAGATATTTGTATGTGCAAGTTTGATTTATTTCACTTGAAAGTATGGTCCCTAGTTTCATCCATTTATTGACACAAGCCTCAAATTTATGCTTTTTTATAGCTAAATAATACTCTGTGTAAAAATACCACATCTTCTTTATCTATCTCTCAGTTGATGGGCATTTGGGTCACTTCCAACAGTTCGCTATGATAAATTGGGCTGCTGTAAACATGGGTGCACATATATTGCTGTGCTATGATTTCTTCAGTTCTGGAAAAATACCCATGAGGGTAATAGCTGGGTTGAGTGGGACCTCCAATCCTACCTTTTTGAGGAATCTTGCAACTGATTTCCACAGTGGTTGTGCCAGTCTGCACTCCCACCAACAGTGGAGATGTGTTCCTTTCCCCCCAACTATTCTAGCATTTGTTATTGGTTGACTACTTGATGATAGCCTTCTTTCTGGGATGACATGGAATCTCAGTATTGTTTTAATTTGCATTTCTCAAATGACCAATGATGTCGAACATTTTTTTATATATTTACTTGCCATTTGTATTTCTTCATCTGAGAAGTGTATATTCATCTGAGATGCCCCTTTTTGGATTGGGTCTTTGAATTTTGGGGGCATGATTTTTAAAAAATTCTTTATATGTTCTAGAAAGAAGTCCCTTATCTGAAGGATAGTCAGCTATATATTTTTCTTAGTTCATGTGTTTTCTTTTTACTCTGTTCGTAATTTCTTTTACACTTTATTTTAAGCCAAAGGCTGAGAAGCAGTGGTATTTTCTTTTGAAGTGCAGAAACTTCAAAAAGATGAGATATCCTAGTTGTTGATTCTTTGAAGTATTTCCCTTGCAATTTGGTTTTTGTTCATGAACTCTCTACCTATCCCTATGTCTTTGAGATTTCTGCCTACATTTTCCTCAAGGAGATTTAGTGTTTCTGTTTTAATGTTTAAATCATTAATCCATTTTGACTGTAGCTTAGTTCATGGTGATAGACATGGCTCTAATTTTAACCTTCAGCATGCAGAAAGCCAATTTTTCCAGCACCATTTATTAAAGAGGCTGTTTCTTCCAGTGAACATGTTTGGCCCCTTTGTCAAAGATAAGGTGGCTGAGTATGTTTGTAGTTCTGTCTGCATCTTCTAAACTGTTCCATTGATCCTCAGATTTTTTTTTTTTTTTTTTTTTTTTTTTTTTTTTTTTTTTTTTTTTGCCAGTACTATGATGATTTTATCATAGTAGTTTTATGGTGTAATTTCGCATCAGGGACTGTGATACCTCCTGTCTTTTCTTTGTTGCCCAGGATTGTTGTTGATATTCTAGATCTCTTCTGGTTCCAGATGAATTTTAGGGATGTTTTGTCTAGCTTTGTGAGGTATACTAATGGTATTTTAATTGGGATTGCATTGAATCTATATAACAATTTTGGGAGTTTGGTCATTTTCATAGTGTTGGTTCTTCCTGTCTACGAGCAAGAAATATCTTTCTATTTATCACTATATAGATCTTTTACTTCCTTTGTGGGATTGATTCATAAGCATTTCTTTCTGTTCTTTTTTGTTTTTTTGTTTTTTTTTGACTGTTATTGTGAAAGATATGGCTTCTCTAATTTCTCTCTTGGTGTGTTCATTGTTTGTGTACAAAAATGCTAATGATTTTCATTATTGAAAATCATTAGCATTTTACATTTTACTTTGTTTACATTACTGAATTTGGTTATTAAATCTACAATTCTCTTGGTGAAGTTTTTGGGATCTTCTATGTAGATTATCATGTGATCTGCAAATAATGATGATTTTATTTCTTTTCTAATCCTTATTCCTTTTATTTCTCTCTCTTATCTAATTGCTCTGACTAATGTTTCCAGAACTATATTGAATAGGAGTGGAAACAGTGGACATCCTTCCTGATTTTAAAGTGAAGGTATTCAATTTTTGCCCACTTAGTATGATGTTGGTTGTTGGTTTCTCATAGATGTCTTTTATCTGGTTAAGCTATAAACCATCTATTCCCATTTTCTGTAGGGTATTTATCATGAGTGAGTGTTGGACTTTGTCAGAAGCTTTTTCTGCA